ACTTTTTAATCATAGCCATTCTTACTGGTGTGAGATGGTATCTCATTGTGGATTTGACTTGCATATCTCTGATGATTAGTGATGTTGAGCATTTTTTCATATCTACATATATATTTTGAAGGAAGTGCTAACAGAACTGGATTGGGGTAAGGATGACTCCAAAACAACTAGAAGGATTTAATTGCACTAACTGAGATGGGGAAGACTCTGGGAGGGACTAGTTTGCAGGGGAAGATGAGTCCATGTTGGACATGGTAAGTTTCACATGTCTATTGGCCACACCCAAGTAGCATTGTTAAGCAGGAGTTGGATTTACCAGGCTGGAGTTTAGGGAAGAGATCTGAGCTGGAGCCACCAGCTTACAGGTGGTATTTAAGGCCACAGGACTAGATGTAATTAGGGGCAGTGAGGGGTAGAGACAGAGAAGAGTCGGGGTGCAGCTTCTGAGCTCTGAGCCTTTCTGTGTTAGAGAACAAAGGGATGAGGAAGAAACTGCAAGGGAGGCTGAGAAGAAAGAGCCAATGAGATGGGAAGAAAACCAGGAGAGTGTGATGTGCTCGAAATCAAGTAAAGGAAATATTTTCAGGGGAAAATGATCAGTGGCCTCAAATACTGATGATGGATCATGTAATGCAAGGACTGAGAACTGATCTTCAGGAGAAAACAGTTCATTTGAGCCACTGAAAGCTGTAGATTCTTTCTGCATGTTATTTCTTAAGTTAAGCCATGTTGTTCACCACCTTGTTTCAAGCCACTGTCTTTTCTTGCCCTGCAATTGGAGCTGCAGCTCTTAACCAATTCTTCTCGTGGTGCCCTCCATCTAGATCTGTGCTTTTCCTTGAAGGAGCCACAGGTCACACATGGTGGTTGAGCAACTGAAAATGTGGCCCATCTGAATTAAGATGTGCTATAAGTACACACTGGATTATGAATACTTAGCATGAAAAGACAAAAAATAAAAAAAGTAGACATGTCTTATGAATGATATTTTATATTAATTGATGTTGAAATAAAAACAGTGGGAATTAGGAGCTAAGTAAAATATATTTTTAAGATTCCTCACACATGAGCCTTTTTTCTTTTTATAGTTTTTAATGTGGCTCCCAGAAAATTTGAAGTTACATCATTGACTTGCATCTGTGGCTTGTGTTATATTTCTATTGGATAGTATTGGGACACACCGTTTATGACCCTGCCCCACAGGGATCTTTTAAAGTGACAAAATGACCATGTCACGCTTCCACTGCTAAGATAAAATGCCTCAAGTTGAACACAAGGCTCTGTGAAAACAGGGCTCTGCTTGTCCAGCCTCCCCTCAGGTCTCTTTCTTCTCCATTGCCTGTGCTCAGGGCACATTGGTCACATCCCTTTTCATTGTCTGCTAATGTATACTCCACTCTGGCTGGAGCCCTCTTCTCTAGCTTCTTTGCCTTGCCAATGTCTACACATCTGTTGGGTCTCAGTTTAACCATCACTTCCTCAGGGCATCCTTCCTTGGTCCTCAAACTAGGTTAGGTGCTCCACTCCTAAGGCTTGATCTTTTCATTTATAGTACTTGATTCCCATCATTATTTGCCTAATTAATTTTGCTCTTTCTCCACTAGACGTTTGCTCCTTGAGGGCAGAGTTGGTGCTGTCTTAATCATTAGAATATCCTCTGCAACGGACAGACAGAAAACTGAGTCTATGTTTTTTACATTACTGTGGTGTTCCTTCCTGAGATTACTTCTATTCTTTTTTTTCTTTTTTCTAAGTTGTTACATCAAACCTTCAGATGTGGTGTTTTAGAAAGTGTTCTTATTATTAAGTTGAAGAGAGTTGCTTTCTGGTTTGTTTTGGGTTTGGGGTATTTTTTGCAATTTATTTTTCTTACTCTTTTAAAAACTAAGGTTAAATTTGCATAGAGAAAAATGCATATGATATGGTTTGGCTGTGTCCCTAACCAAATATCATCTTGAACTGTAGCTCCCATAATTCCCACATGCTGTGGGAGGGAGCCGGTAGGAGATAATCAAATCATGGGTGGTTTCTCCCATACTGTTCTCATGGTATTCTCACAAGATCTGATGGTTTTATAAGGGGAAATCCCTTTTGTTTGGTTCTCATTCTCTCATCTGCCACCATGTAAAACGTGTCTTTCACCTTCTGCCATGATCATGAGGCTCCCTAGTCACATGAAACTTTGAGTCCATTAAACCTCTTTTTCTTTTTTTTTTGTGGGACAGAGTTTCGCTCTTGTTACCCAGGCTGGAGTGCAATGGCACGATCTCGGCTCACTGCAACCTCCACCTCCTGGGTTCAGGCAATTCTCCTGCCTCGGCCTCCTGAGTAGCTGGGATTACAGGCACGCACCACCATGCCCAGCTAATTTTTTGTATTTTTAGTAGAGACGGGGTTTCACCATGTTGACCAGGATGGTCTCGATCTCTTGACCTCGTGATCCACCTGCCTCGGCCTCCCAAAGTGCTGGGATTACAGGCTTGAGCCACCGCGCCCGGCCTATACCTCTTTTTCTTTATAAATTACCCAGTCTTGGGTATGTGTTAGTCAGCAGCATGGAAACAGACCAATACAGTAAAAATATTAAATATATCATTCAGTGACTTTTGGCAAATTAATATATCCATGTAATCAACATTCCAGTCAAGACATTGAAGACTTCCATGACTCCCAAGAAAGTACCCCTTTACATTCAATACCTGCCCTCAAACACAACCACTTCCTGATTTCTACCATCATAGATTACTTTTGCCTCTTCATAAGCTTAAAATTAAATAGAATCAGACAGTGTATGCTTTGTTCTGTCTGGCTTCTTTGACTCAGCATTGTGTCATATGGTTCCATCACTTGTTCCTTTTTATTGCTGAGTAATTGAATAGAAATAATTCATGTATCTATTAACCTCTTTTTTAAAAATAATTTCAACTTTTAGTTTAGATTCAGGGGGTATATGTGCAGGCTTGCTACATGGGTAAATTGTGTGATGCTGAGGTTTGGGGTGTGGATGATGCCATCACCCAGGTAGTGAGCACAGTCCCCAGTAGGTAGTTTTTCAGCCCATGCCCCTCTCTCCCCCCTCTCCTTCTGGTAGTCTTCAGTGTCTATTATCCCATCTTTATGCCCATGTGTACACAATGCTTAGCTCCCACTTATAAGTGACAACATGTGGCATTTGGTTTTCTGTTCCTGCATTAATTCGCTTAGGATAATGACCTCCTCTTTTTCTTATAATGTCCTTATTTTCCTTCTCTCTCTTTTATGATGGATTTTATGTAATATTGGCAATATTTACAGACTTCATCAGAGAAATAATCTGGGCCTGGAATTTTCTTGTTGAAAAGGTTTGTAATTGCACATTTAATTTCTTTAATATAGGAGATATTCAGATTTTCTCATTTTTGTCAGTTTTGGAAAATTATCTTATACAAGGTATTTGTCCATTTAACTGAAGTTGTCAAATTTAGGGACATAAGATTATTCATAAATTTTCTTTATTATCCTTTTAATGTCTTTAGGGTCTTTGGTGATATCCCCTCTTACTCCTGTTACTGGCAATTTATGTTTCTGTCTCTCTTCCTCATGAACATTGATTCAAAAATGTATTCAGAAAAACATTAGAAAATGGAATCTAGCAGTATATGAAAAAGATAGATTATAACCAAGTGGGATTTATCCCAGGAATGTAAAGCTGGCTCAATATTTGAAAATCAATGTAATCCACCACTTTACTAAAACAAATGAGAAAATTGTATGATTCTTCTGATAGATGTAAAAAAACCACTTGAAAAATTTTAACACCTATTCATTGTAAAAACTCTGAAAATTAAAAGAATAAGGGAACTTTCTCAAATTGATAAAACTAATATCGTAATAGAGAAATATTGCATGTGTTCCCATTATACTTGAAAACAGAAAAAATATCTATTTTTATCATAAAATCTAACACTTTGGTAAAGTCCAACCAAATGCAGTAAAGCAATACAAACAAATATATAACATAGAAATTGGAAAGGAAGAGGTAAAATTTATTCAAAGACAACACAATTGTGTTTACAAACAATCCTAAGGCATCCGCAAAAAATTTACTAGAACTAATAATGTGAATTTAGCAAAGTCACAGAATACAAGATCACTAATTCAAAAATCAATTCTTTGCTTATATTCTGACCAAAAATTAAAAAAAAAGAAAAAGAAACATTTAAATACCCTTTAAAATCGCATCAAAAACATAAAACATTTGGGAAAAAATTTAATGAAAGCCTACAGTTTGAAAACTGCCAAGCATTGTTGAAATTAATATTTGCCCTTCTATGCCCTTTTCTGTCTTCTTTTGCATTTAAAATTGGATTTTTACAAGTAATATATTTTATTTCTTCTATTAGTGTTTCAGCTATACCATCTGTATTGTTTCAATAGCTGCTTGGTGGTTTTAAATATGCACCAGTAACTTTTCATGAACTACTAAGAATTAATATTATTTCATTTCACTTATAATGTAAGAAGTTTTTAACAGAATATTCAATTTATTCTCTCTGTTCTTTGTGCTATTGTCATATACTTTATTTATACATATGAATGCCACAAAAAGTTATTTTTTCTTTAAATAATCAATTGTCTTTCGAAGAAATTAGCAAAATTAAAACATTTTTTACATTTAGTAGCATCTTTGCCATTTCTAGGAATCTCCATTCTTTTTTGTAGACCTGAGTTTTCATCTGATATCATTTCATTTCTTTTCAGTCTGAATAACTCCTTGTAACTTTTTTTTTTTTAAAGAGACAGAGTCGTGCTCTATTGCCCAGGCTTCAATGCCATGGCACAATCCTAGCTTTCTGCAGCCTCAGACTCCTGGGCTCAATGATCCTCTGCCTCAGCCTCCTGAGTAGCTAGGACTGTAGGTGCATGCCACCATGCCTGGATAATTTTTTTTTTTTTTTTTTTTTTGGTAGAGATGAGGTATATTGCCCAGGCTGGTCTTGAACTTCCTGTTTCAAGAGATCCTCCTGCCTCGGTCTTCCTTTTAGCATTTCTTATAGCACAGTTCTTTTGGCACTTAATTCTCGCAGACTTCCTTTTCTGAAAACTTTCTGAGACTTTCTATCTGTTGTCTTTCTGGCCTCCACTGTTTCTGGTAACATGACAAGTACCTTTCTTATCATTTTTCCTTTGTATACAATTATGGGTTTTTTTCTGGCTGCTTTTAAGGTTTTCTTTTATCTTTGGTTTCAAGAGTTTTATTATGATATGCTCAGATGTGTTTGTGTTTTGTCATAATTAATATGAACTTAAAGAAGAAAGAAAATCACATTTATAGTACATCTACCTTCTGACAAATACCATAGAATGCACTGATAAAGAAATAGTCTCATCTAATCCTTTCTGTGGATTAATAGCATGTCATTGATGAGGAACCAAGGCTCATTGGTGATGCATCCAGCCATGACAGAGTGACTGATAATGGACCTGTCATCTGGCCATAAACGACAATACAATCAGACAAGATATAGAACCAACTGTTTCAGGCATTGGACAAAAGACAACACAAATCTGTGCTCTTCACACCTACTATATACTCCCAAGAATTTAAAAAATAAAATAAAACAAATAAACAAAAAACCAAATCTGGGCTCTTTGAGAGAAAGAAAGACCCTAAGTGAGCTTAGCATTCTACTCCTACCCTATCCCTATCTTCTGCCCTAACTTTCTTGGACCTTGGTGCCAATAGGTGGAGGTTAAATGGAAAGCTACAATTTTACTGGGTAGGGGGAGTAGAGATCAGAGTTGGGGGCTTCTGGTACTGGTGGAGCACTGGGATATGGAGGTAGATTCTCCTTGGGCCCTGGTCCACTGAATGCCGGAGGAGCAGGGGGAGATTTCACAGGGCCTAAGAGGCAGGCGGTTGGGGGCTGAGAGCTGAATGTGGATATCAAAGATTGCCCAGTGCTAGGACACAGGAGTTTTGGTTCAGCCAGAGAAAAGAAAACTTGCTGAGCGTACAAATCATTTCTTTGAGATCTGAGAAATGCTACATCTTAAGAGAAAGGATCACATTCAGGGGCAAGGGTTCTGCACTAAAATAAAGTACAAAGCTGAACTAGACATGCCCACTTCCCAAATTTTGTTGCTCCACTAGACTCTTTCTCTTCCCCTCCCTCTGCATCTAATGACACTGATGACAGTCAACATGTCCAGCATGCTTACTATGTGCCAGGTAGGGTATTCCGAGAATTTTTTAACCTATGTTGATGCAGCATACATCCCAACAACCCTGTGAGGCAAGTAATATTTTTATCTCTGTTTCACAGGCATGGAAACTGAGGTACTGAGAGAGTAAATAACTTGCCCAATACTATACAGCTAGGCAGTAGTAGAGCTGGAACTCAAACTCATGTGAGCTGACTCCAAAGTCCACACTTTTAACTACAACTCTCACTACTTCAGTGTTCTCTGGGTTGTTACTTATAGGTTAAAAAACCTATAATGTCTGCTTCCCTTCTCCTCATGCAGCGTCACCAGAGCCTCAGTTCAGATGTTCCTCATCCCTGGCTGTATTAGTTCATTCTTGCATTGCTACAAAGAACCATCTGAGACTGGGTAATTTACAAAGAAAAGAAGTTTAATTGGATCACAGTTCCACAGGCTGTACAGGAAGCATGACTGAGGAGGCCTCAGGAAACTTACAATCATGGTGGAAGGCAAAGGGGAAGCCGGCACATCCTACATGGCTGGAGCAGGAGGAAGAGAGAGAGAAAGGGGAGCTGCTACACATTTTTAAACAAGTAGCACTAGGAGGATGGTACTAAAGCAATAGAAACCACCCCCATGACCCAATCACCTCCCACCAGGCCTCTCCTCCAACACTGGGAATTACAATTTGACATGAGATTTGGGTGGGGACACATAGCTAAACCATATCACTTGCCTAAACTTTTATAATGATCTTCCTATAGAGGTTTCTCTGCCTCCCTATTTTCTCAAAGGTATATTTCTAAATTGTACATTCCAACATATAAAATTTTTTCTGCTCAAAATCCTAATGTTCACTATGATCCACTCCCCCTCACCTTCCTATCCAGAATTTCCCCAAGCACTTTCTCCCTCCTTTCTTTTTCTCTATTTCCCTCTTTACCACTCCAGTAATACGTACCACTTGTGGTTTAACAAACCGTGCCATTAATGCCTCTGAGCTTCCGCCCATGTTGCTCCCTCTGCCTCAAATATATCCCCTCCTTGTCAGCCTGGCAACCTTGCCTCCTTTCTGAAGTTGTCTGACTCCTTCCAGGCACATGGGGGCCTTTCTTCCTCCATGAGTCATAAACAGGCATCCACTAGTCCCCAACTCAGAGCATGGCAAAGCTCTCTGTCTCTGGACATCTCACCCCTGGGGGTCTTAGTTGTTGCCCAGCACCCAGCACAGGCTGGGCACACAGTAGGCACATAACAAATGCCCCTTGAAATTGAAAATAAAATTCCAGGACCCCCCCCAACCAAAAATAAAATTCCAGGGCCCCCCAACCATCTGAAGAGACATCTCCTCTTGGCCAAGCACATTCCGAAGTTAACCTGAAAAGCTAGTTCAGGCCATGATGGGAAGAAGGAGGTTGAATATGCCTCATTATATGCTCCTCCCTTTTGGAATTCAGGAAAAGCTGACCAGCATTAACATCAACACAGACCTTAAGTCTGTTAAGAAACATTTACAATCTATTCTTTCTAAAGCCTGATACCTGGAGGCTTCATCTCTTTGAAAAAAACTTAGTCTCCACAATCTCTTATCATAACCCAGACAATTCCTTTCTATTGATAATAACTCTTTCAACCAATTGCCAATCAGAACATTTTTAAATCTGCCTATTACTTGGAAGCCCCCTGCCCCACCTTTGAGTTGCCCCACCCTTCCACAGCAAACCAACGTACTTCCTACATGTACTGATTGAGGTATTATGTCTCCATAAAATGTATAACAGCAAGCTGTACCTTCACAACCTTGGGCACATGTCAGTACCTCCTGAGGCTGTGTCATGGTCATGTTCTTAGCCCTGGCAAAATCAACTTTCTAAGTTGATTTAAGTCCTGTCTCAGACACTTTGGGGTTTACAAAATATTGTACACATCAAATTCCTAACGACAGCTGAATGGCATCATATTTTCTTCTCCTCAGGAAGGCAGAGGAGGGGTGGTACAGGGGGTCCTGAGAAGCCTGCAGACCTCAGGAAAGGAGAGGAGAAAGGTGGGAAATATCTTTCTCAGGGGTGGCTCTGCTCTGTTAACAAAAGGTCAATGAACTCACAAGAATGAGAGATGCCTCTTTTCCTTGTTTCTAGACAAAGCTGAGATGTGACTTCAGCATTTCACTGTTCTCTGGTCTGCATCCTTGGCCGAAATGTTTTCCCTCGGAATTGTCTTTCTTTCAGAAGGGAGAGTTCACAAGACACAGCTGATCACAAAGAGCTTGGTAATAGTTCCTTTGGGGGAGGCTCCTCAGCCCTGCAGCTGGGAGACTGGGAGTGGGAGAAGGCCTCTTAGACTCCGTGCACCTGCAGTCCTTCTCCTGCCCACATGCCGTGTGTGGGGAGGGAGCATTGTCACCGTAGGTGCAGCCGAGCTGGCCAACCCAGCTTCTCACTCCACCTTGGCAGAAAATGGGGTCAGTAGGATAGCTTTTGTTTTTATTCTTTAGATACTTTGTTTTTCCTCTTTAAAGCATTTTTTTCTGAGATTCTGAGACGATGACTGTTTGACCAACATGCAGCTGTGGGGAGATGGGAGAACTCATCAGCCAGCCAACCCTGGTGACTATGTGGGGGCAGGGACCTTAGCCAGGATCCCTCGCAGGCCAATTGCACTAACGTTGGGCTGTCCTGGGGTGGGTGGCAAGGGCCAGTGCCTAATGCAGAGGGAAGCAGGCCTGTCATCTGGGCCCACAAAGGCACTCTGGATCCCTCTGACTGTTCTGCAGGGAGGAAGCTTTTTACCCCCAGCTCAGGTCAGGTACAGCATTACACTGCTTCTCACCCCCGTATTTTTCTTTCACAGCACTCCCAGAATTTGTGAGATATAGTTGAAGGATTCTTTTGTGTAATAATTATGTTTTCTAGTATTTGATACTTTGACATTTATGCTTTGCAGTTCCTGGAGGGATTGCCCCTCCCAGAGCTAGCCAATTGCTAATGATTAATTAAACAACTCACCTGGGAGCAGGTCGTTCCTATGCACAGCAACCAGTCCAGAGCCCATAAGCCCCAGCCACCTCCTTCCCCAGGTTCTCACACACCCAGGCCAGCATTTCCTTGCCCTCAAAACCTCAGGGCCAGAGCCCCTGAAATTATTCCAACTAGCCAATGCTAAGCCTTCCCACCCTGCCTCACCTGTTCCTTCCCCAGGTAAACTACAATAAAGGCTCTTACCCATGTTTTCCCCTCCTTCCCTCCCTCTGCCTCCTGACCCACCTGCTGCTTTTCCCCATGGCCCTGAAGAGCATGCCCTGCCTCCTATTTCTAGGGATCGGTGAGTACAGAAACTCCTTCCTCATGCAGTCATTTCCATGTCTGCATGTCTTGCTATGCCTGATTAAAAGAAAGCCTGGATACCCTTACAACATCTTCTTAATAATTCTCTCATCCACTGGATGGTGACCTCCATGATGAAACAATGTAGCTGTTTAATCCAGTTCCTGGCCCAGCACTTGGCTTGTAGCATTTGCTGAATAAATGATTGAATGCATAACCAAATGTTTTTAAGATCCCTTAGCGATTCTAGTAAAAGGAAGAGTTTTATAAAATTTTTTCATCTTAATGTATTGTCCATCTTTCAACAGACTGACACTCCAGTCCTTACTGATTGAGATGAGGCCCCTTCTGAACTGCTGTCCAGGAGTGGAGGTGGTTGGCCACATACTCAGCCCAAGCCAGTTTCCCTCTGGACTATGTGGGACAATGTGGCAGGGTACTGGGTAGAGCTTTACTGCAAAAATAAACAAGGAAAGAGAATCACTGCTTCTATGGGGTCTGCAAGACTTTGAGGAGCAGATAGTACATAAGCTGGTCTTGAAGAAACAAAAGGACTTTAGCAGATTATGGAGCACCTTCCATGTACCAAGCACTGCTGATGTTTTATTTGTGTGACCTCCCTTTGGGCTGACTGCATCCTTGAGATATATTTAATTTCTTCTTTACAGATGAGAAAGTTGACGCTAACTAAGATTAGGTAACTTATTTAAGGTTACACCATTAAGTAACAGAAGCAAAATTTGAATCCAGGAAGACTTTAGACCAAAGCCCGTGATCTTTCCATTATGCCAGGCACGGCGTGTGTTCGATGATAATACCACGCCCACAATAACATGTGCCTGGCATGCACTGAGGTCACACACATCATCTAATCTAATCAACTTCAAAAAATGAGGGTGATATTCTGACTATCTTCATTATACAAATTCCAAAAAGAGGCACAAAACAGTTTAAGAACGTGTTCAAGTTCATATAACTGGTAAGGGGCAGAGCTAGGAATTGAATCCAGGCTGGTATCTGAATCCACGTACTTAACACAATCATTTAGTTTGTTCATATATGCACATGCAGAGGGGTTTGGGATTGACATGGAGAGCAGGGGGCAGGGGAGAGTGGAGGCTGGATACTTGTGGTTTTATCAATTTTGGCAAAAACTCTTTTAGGACAAGTGTTGATTGGCAAAATTCTGTGTGAGCAGTAACAATAGTAATAATCAGCAATGATAAATATAGCTGAATGTTTGTTTTCTTTATGGCAAACCAGTTAGGGTAAGGATAGTGTGTCTTCCTAACTCTGTACTCCCAAAAGGTCACAATGTCCCTGGTATTTCTGGGATGGAAGGGACTATGAACTGAGACTGAGAAGATCTGTGACTAACAATCCCTGACAATGCCATGGATCCCTGAGCTCCTCTGCCCCACAGTTATATCTGCTACCAAACTCTATGGCCAACAGCCAGCCATCAGCCTGGCAGTGAGAGAGGGGCTTGGGGCCTATGGCTGCAGGAACCTGTAGCTAGGGGCAGTGCCCTGGCTCAGCAGCCCTGGCCGCTGAGGCAGTGGATGTGCAGAATGGCCCCCTTCCAGCCACAGCACCTGGTGAGTCATCAGTGTTCCATCACAGCATATTAAAGGTGAACCTCTGTGGGAAAGACAGAACTTACATAGCCTTGAGTGCTCTCAGAAACAGGTCCTGGGCCTCCCAAGCTTTGCTACTTCTGCTGTCATCACCAATAGTACCCACAGGAGCCTGGGGTGGTTGCTAGGCAACAAGCCATCTCGGCATCCTCCTCCAATTTGTAGACATCTTTACTCAGATTCCCTGTCTCTAGGTCCATCCTTCCTGCAGGAGAATTGGCCAGACCAGTGTCAGAGATTCTGCAGGACTCCTGCAAGATGCTTGGGTCCTTCCTCCAAGAAGAGCCTCCCTGAGAACCAATCACTATCCCTTAGGTGCCTTCACCATGCAATATTTCCAGTGTTCCATGGACACAGGGAGGGGAGCATCACACACCAGGGCCTGCCTGGGGTGGGGGAGCTACAGAAGGGATAGCAGTGGGTGGGGGATGGGAGGGATAATATTAGGAGAAATACCTAATGTAGATGACTGGGGGATAGATGCAGCAAACCACCATGGCACGTGTATACCTATGTAACAAACCTGCATGATCTGCACATGTACCCAAGAACTTAAAGTATAATAATAAAAAAATGTTTCCAGTGTTCTCATTTTCTAACATTTAAAATATGCATCTTCTAGAGGTAATTCATTATGGAGAGGTTTATTAGCTCATGCATGAGTTATCTGGAAGTATTCCTCTTCTCTCTCCTATGGTTACTTTTATGGCCATTTTCTGCTAGGAACCAGAGGTCTGGGAGTAACAGAAGGGTAACCTATGTTTTATGACTTTGCTGCCACTGGTTTTGGAGGCAACGTGTTATTAATTGAGTTTAAAAAAAAAAAAAAAAACTTTTTCTGGTCCATGGTCTAAGGTGAACAGGTTGCAAAATTAAGAAGCAAATTATTGGCCAGGCACGGTGGCTCACACCTGTAATCCTAGTAGTTTGGGAGGCCGAGGTAGGCAGATAACTTGAGGCCAGAAGTTCAAGGCCAGCGTGGCCAACATGGCAAAAAATACAAAAATTAGCCTGGCATGGCAGTGCAGGCCTATAGTCCCAGCTACTTGGGAGGCTGAGGCACAAGAATTGCTTGAACCTAAATCACTTGAACCCAAATCACTTGAACCCAGGAGGCAGAAGTGCAGAGAGCTGAGATCAAGTCTACTGCACTCCAGCCTGGATGAAAGAGCAAGACTCTGTCTCAAAAAAAAAAAAAAAAAAGAAAGAAAATATTAAATAAATTACCACCCTCCCCACCCCCTGTAACCTTCCCCTTACCACCCATGTCTTTTTCCTACTTATGAAAAGGAAATGTGTGGCCACTCTATTAGGAGGACCTGCAAAGATTGCACAGGCTGCCTTCATTTCTTCTCAGTCTGCCATACTCAGTGTCTTCTTGTCCCTCTGGCTTTAAATCTTATTTGCATTGCTCTGGTGAAACTCGCAAGCAACACAAGACTGAAGAAGGTGGCAACTGGCAAGAAAGTACTGTTCAGACCTTTTAACACCAACAGGGGTGTTTCTATCAAATATCCCAGAACTCGTTCATGGGTCTTGTTGGGCTGGATTCCAACCAACACATGCCCCACAACCCTATCCCAAAGAATGTTATTCTTTGGTGTGCATCTGTCTTCTCTTCCTCCCTGTCCATTAAGGCAGCTCTCTCTCTTTGTAGTTTATTTGCCTCTATCTATGGAAGAGCCTGTCCTCCTGAAGGAGGGTGGTCTTAGGAGTAAAACTTGAGGGGAAGAGAACCAATATTTATGGAGACCCATAACCAGCCAGGCAATGTGCTAGGTGCCTTCTCTACTTTTCTGCATTAAATCCTTAAAATAATCCTATAATGCATTAATCATATTTTAGAAATAAGGAAGCAAAAACTCAGAGAGATTAAGATATTTCATTTTATACCATCGCACAGCTGGCAAAATCCCCAGCCCACTTGCCCGGTTTCACAGCAAGTTCTTTTCACTAGGGGTAGAGTCTCCAGAGAAACAGGGGCTTGCTAATCCTCGAACCTATCCATGACAATCACCCACACGCAAGCAGGGAGAGAAAGGAAAATGGAGGGGTAGCAGCCAGGTTTCAAGCCCAGGTGCTAACATTTGCAATTAGCTGGCAAACAAAACAGAACTGACCAGAAAGCCTAGAAGAAGAGCAGAGATTTAAGAGAAATGCCAGCAGCAGGTGACAGGTTTCCATTCTCTTCCAGCCCTTGGATGTCCTTGGGAGAGTTTGAAATTGCGGCCTTGAGGACCCTGGCTGTGTTTCCTGGACTGGTAGAGCTGGAAGCTAAGTGGAAGTTACAGTATTCCCAGAACATGACCATTTCCTTTTCAAGGAGAGCTTTAGTCTGAAAAGGAAGAATTCACCTGCTACATTCTACGATCCAGCATAAGTGATGGACTTGCACTGCCATCCCCTTGTTGCTATAGGAACGATTTCCTACCCATTTTCGGAAACACACGGCCAGGGTAAATGCTGCCATTATTCATGCATGTACTTCCATTGGTTCAATTGGAAAAAGACTGCCAGATGGTCACTTGCTGAATACAGAACCTGAAGACCTCTTTCTAATGTGAAAACTATTTGGCAATCTCATCTCTAATCACAGGGGTGTTTGTAGACTCTGTCCCGTGGTGTGCTCAGACTTTTCTATCAGCTTGTTTTCTAGGTAAACTATGATTGGTGAAGGAGGTGCTGTGAGATTCAGTTCAAGGAATATATCCTGGTGGATATGACTCATCCAGGAGCCAGGGGTTTAGTGCAAGCACAAAGGAGCTGAGGATGACTGGTGTGTTCTCATTCAGGCCACACACACACAAACACACAGCTCCTACCTTAATTGTTATTGTGCTCCGTTATGTTCCCTTCCTGGAGGTCACATCACATTTGGTCAACAAAAATTTCTCAGGTGTGCTGCTGAGCCTTAGGACTCAGACAATGTTTGCTGCCTCCCTGCATTGAGACCCACAGTCTGCACACAATGTCTATTTTGTGTGGAAGTGCAGGACATTTCCATTTTTTAAAGGTAGAATTCTCCATGTGGAGGCAGCCTCAACCTAAGTGGAAGGGCAACTGGATTTAAACTCAAAAGACTTGCCGTTCACTGAACTAGCTCTGGGACCTTGACCAAGTCATCTGGTTCAACTGGATGATCTTTTTCTCATTCCATGAAAAGGAATGGTCAAGCCTCCTTCACAGCCCGATTGGTTCAGATAAGTACATTGATTTATGCCTTCAATAGTTGTCTAGAGCTGGGGATATTTCAAATGAAGATGAGACAAGGTCCTGCTCTCATTCTAACATAAGGAAGTGAGAAAAATAATAAACAGGGGTAAATAATATGAAGATAAATAACAGGAGAGTGTGAAAGAGAGGATCTGACAACTGCTTTAGATTGGGGGATCCGAGAAGGCCTCACTGATGAAATGGTACCTAAGCTGAAATCTGAATGACAGAATGAACCAGCCACGCATGGGGGAAGAGCAATCAGCAGAAGGAATATGCAGTGCAAAGACCCTGTTATGGGAATAAGCTTTGGGTTGTTTGAGAAAGCAAAAGAAGGGTGACATGGCTGGAGCGTGGTGGGGGAGGGGGAGGAGGAGGCAGAGGCCAGCCCACAGCACTTTGTAAATCCAGGTAGTAAATTGAGATTTTATTCTCATATGTAGGAAGTTATGATAATGGTTTGGGAAAGGACAGGGCTGCATGGTTTGTTTTTAAAAGACTTCTGTGCTCGCTGTAAGAAAAGTAGATTTAGAAATAAGAAAACAAGTTACGAGGCTATTGCATTAGTGCTAGCAGAAGACGATGGGTGGGTTGGTCTAAGGTGACAGGAGAGAGATGGAAAGAAATTGACAC